TGTAATTTCTTCTTCCACTCCTTTGATCTTGTGAATGGCCATGAGGGGCTAAATCTTTGAGGATTGGTCTGGATGTAACTACTAACTCTTCTTCTTCTTAAATATATATATGCATTTCATTTTCATTAGTTGTGTTTGATTCTTTTCTTAATGCTTATATCGGCTTGATCACCCATTGTATGATTTTTGGTTTTTGAATCCGATTGGAAAACGTTTTTAAAAACCCGAACTGAATCTTGCACCTAAACATCTCTTGCTCTAGGAATAGACTTGATTTGTTTAGTCACCTTGTTCAAGCCATTGTTCTTAATGCAAAGTGTTAATTTCAAAACATAGAGGAATCATGTTTTAGATTAATCACTTTAGGATTCAACTTTGAGGGATCTTGTTGAATTACTAAATGAACGTGGAAGTCATGAAATTGAATTCATATTTATTTTAAGAAGATTTAAGATATAGCAAGTACTCCTGAGTCCAATCCTCGCTTCTTATAATTGTTCTTATAAATTTTACATTATCGTTTTATTTTACTTCACATTAATTCACTTTCAATCATATCAATGTCTTTTATTGGATCATTAGAGTAAAAATTACTAAATTCTCAAATCCCTGAGGACGATACTTAAATACTACATCGAAACTTGGTCCGCTTGCCAAGTGGAGAGATTGTGAAAATCTTCATCAGTTATCTTCATCATAGGGTACCGATTTAGGGCGTTGTAGGGGTGCTTAATACCTTCCTTACACGTAACCGACCCCCGAACCCAATTTTGGTTATCAAGGCCATTATTGGACTTTTAAAAATCTTTTCTTTTTCTAATGTTTTGAGTAAAACATTGGTGGCGACTCCATGAATCTATTTTTAAAACCATTAATTAAGGATTAGTCTGGTGTCCGGGCATTTCTTAATTAATGAGACTTTTAAAAGGATGTCTAAACCATAAGTCGCGAGATCAAAAATTTTCGGGTTGCGACAATGGGCATTTGGATGAGGGGAGAATGGGGGACTCTAGGAGAGAGAATTTTGGGATTGCTGAGTTGAAAATCACGATCGTGATTTGGAATCACGGACGTGATTCTCACGGACCTTTACATCCATGTGGTCAAGATTTAACATTGTTTATGAAATTTGGACAGAAATCTCACATTAAAGTATTTTAAAATAATTTGAGATTAAATTGAAACCAAAAATTAAAGTGAGATCAAATTAAATTTTTTTAATATTATAAGGGACCAAATTAGGGTTTTAACTTACAAGAAAAGGCTAACTATCGACATATATTACAATCGGATTTAGAATCTGCGAAGAAGCAAAATTTACCTACAATTTTTTTAATAAATTTCTATGCATAAAAAATTCTAAATTTTCTAATTTTTAAAATTGAACTGGTCATCGAACTAGTTAAAACACTAGTTTAAATATGGTTGAACTGTGATCGAATTGATATTAATAAAATAATAATAATATTTAAATAATATATAAAATAATATTACATAAACATAATATCCTAATCTTATAATAATAAAACTAAAATAAAACATCATTTTATGTATTTTTATTTTCAAAGTGCATGTAAAAGTTTAAATATACTATTTAAGTTTAATTTTTAATAAAATATAACAATATATATTAACAATTTCACATTTAGAGCGGAAAATCTTAATTTAATATAGTATAAAATATAAAATATTATTATATAAAAAATCATAAATTAATATAAATAAATAAATTATATCTTTAAAAGAAAATTATTAAAAATAATAGATAATATAATTTATTCTAATTTATAACTTTTATTAAATATATTTATTTATTTATCATAAAAGTGTTTTAAATAATTATAGCAATAAAAAAAATATGTTTTCTTGAAAAGGACCCATTCAACCTAGTCTTTTAGACTAGTTCTTGACCGATTTTTGAGTTGACTCATCTGACCTTTGTCCAATTCTTTCATATTTCGATTTTGTGATTCTTTCAAACTGATATATTGGCTAATTTCAATTTTGATTAATTTAGTCCAACTTTGACAACATATAAATTTTTGAACAGGTATTACTAATAGAATTATAACGAATTTCATTGATGAATTATAACGGGTATTACGAGTTTCATTGGTGAATTTGCAATGAGAGTTTGAATATGAAATTTTTGACGGATTTTTGTCCGTCAGAAAAAATTCAATTTTTTTTAATGAATTTTAACTATAAAAATGAAGAAAAAAATAATATAGGAAACTATTTTGGGGTGCCAGAAAATTAAATAAAAAAGGACCAATAAAATTCTTAAATACCTAAACAATTTTTCATGCTAAACATCGTTAAATATAAATTAAAAGTTATTATTTTTATTTTTATTTTTAATAATTATCAATAAAATCATAGTTTTTAATAGTTTGAAGGATAAAAAATTGATTGTGAGAATGTGACATAAATTACTTAAAAGTTAATTAAAAAAATAAGGTGATTGAGATTTTAGATTAAAAATCCTAGGATTATGTCTAGAGATGGAAAAACGGGTCACAACCCGTGGCCCAAGCCAAGCATTATGGCCCATCAACTTACTTGACTCGCCTCATTTAACACGTTAGCCGGTCGAGACAAATGACAAACTAGGACAGATTGCAAACCTATCTACTTCTTTTTTTCTTTCTATTTTCTATTGTATATGGGAGCATTCCCTTCACTAATCACACAAGACTCATGACTCACTTAGTTAGGTTAGAAAATAGAAATAGAAAGACAACTTAATTTGGGAAGAACCATTTAACTATGACAAGATAGAAGTTTAGTGTTTTATTTTGGGTTGTGTAGATGATCTTTTCTTCCTAACTTTTAGACAAGAGATGATTTTGGAAGTTGAGTGTATGATTATTGGGTTGAATTTTCATATAGTCTTCTATTTTAAGGAGAGTAAAATTTTCATCCATAAACTTTTTTGAAGTTGTTTACAGGTTGGTCCATTGAGAAATTATTGTAGTTGTAATAAATTATTTTTGAAAAAAAAAAAAAGCTACAATAATTGATGAATTGATGATTTTTTCCCTACGGGTATTGTTTTGAAGGTTGTCGTATCAAATTACAAAGCATGAGTTTGTTATGCCTTATCATTTTCATTTTAGTTTTTTATGTAGACTGGCAGAGTGGGACAAGGTATCCAATTAGTTATCATTTTATAGACTAGCCCAACCCAACCCAATTTTGGTAAGTCCAGCTGACCCATTTTACCACTCTCGATTATGTTTTTATTAACATCAATTACCTTCAACATAAATCATATGAATTTTATTCTTTTCTGTCAAATTTACTGTTCAAGTTGTTAATAACTTTTGTTCATATAGAATTTCTTCAAGGAAAAGCTTGCAAGCGGAGAAGTTGATTAATAAATTAATCCAATTTATAACTTAGAAAACTAGTTTGATCAAGCAAGTTTCCAAGTTCAGTTATTTTAAGATTGTTAATTAATAGAGTTTGTTCATGCACTATCAATCAACTAATATAAAATTAAAATTCTAAAATAATCCAATAGATATAGAAATAATTCATTAAGCTCATAAAAGGGTTCACAAAGTACAAATACAACACAATCCAAGAGAGACTTTAGCTAGAGATGGCAGGTGAAAACATTAACATCTTACTAAATATCATAGACAGAAAAAATTAACAACAAAGAAGGAGAGTCCTTCTTCGATCGTAGCTCTTAGTCTTCTATAGAACCCCAATCAAAACCAAGAATAGAGAAAAGAAAATAGTGAAACAAAAGCTAAAAGAAGATGATGAAATTAAATGTATTATGGACATCCCTATTTTATATGTAAAAATTAGGTGACCCTTCAAACACCTTCGTGTATCTAAACAAGCATGGTCGTACATCTAAACATGGGTGTGCAACCTTTAATCTAAGGTGTACTTTGAATGAAGCAAATTCATGCATTGCAACCATGTGTATTAATTTAGTGCATTTTGTTTCTTATCTTTTTTGACCTCTAATTACATAGATTCCCTCTTCAACATCTTTTCACTTGCTTGTTGCACACTTAACCAAAAAAGAGTGAAGTTTGCCAAAGAATGTTATCATAAACAGAACAAAATCACAACTAATATGGTAAAATGCTACAAATTGGGGGATTAACAAGCTGAGTTTTTGATAAATGATTCGTTAGATTTGGTTCTTCGTTTTCAATGGTCTGATATGCAAAGGAGGTCTCAAGTGAGAAATAATCTTGTTGCAGCAACAATTTTGTTTTTGGTCTTTTTATCTTTTTATTTCTCATTTGTAATCAATGATACTTTAGTTGTTTTGGCTAATTGTATGCATTGTTTGTTGGAAAATCTTTTATATCCTTTATCAATTATAGATTCATAGTAGAATTATTTTTTATGTAGACATTATGTATTTTTGTACCTCAATATTTTTTGTGTTTTATGTTTTTTCTCTAACTTATTCGTGCATCTTGCATATTATTGCAAATTTTATTACTTTATTAATGAGTTACTGTGTTGGATTTTGCACCACCATTTAAGTCCATCCATCTCCAGAGTGAAAATTAAACTCATGATCATCATTATCAAACCAAGCCACATTATAACAGTGTTTGATATACATTAGCTCAAGGTTTAATGTATATGTTAGCAGAAAAAATAAGATTCAAACACCACTGTAAATAAATAAGTAACCTTCCTGACTTTACAACTAAACAAGTGTCAAGACCTTACTTTAATAAAGTCCAAAAGGCCAATCATATCAAATACACATTATTCTATATTCATTACATGAAGGGCGTGGCAACATTATATTTTGTAAGTGGGATTGATCTTCCATCTACTCTAGATGCTGAAGCCACGATGAAATATTAATTCTTCCTTAGGATTTTAGGGTTAAAATCATGCACATGAAAAATGTCTCATTAGCTCTTGTAACAATTTTTTTTCTTCTTTTTAACAAAATTTAGTCTTGTTTTTCAATTAAAATTGAAATTTTATTTTGATAAAACACATTAACATTTAATGAAATCTCATATCACTCACATTATTGAAGTGAATTCCAATTCAAAGCAGATAATAATAACAACTATGATACTACATATACAAGGACAAACAAGCATAAGCATCATTATAATTTTACTTCCTAATTAACCCTCACTCCTTTTAATTTTATAATAGCAATAATAAACTTTAAATCTCATACAAATATTAACTACCTAAACTGACCCTAGTGAGTAACCCTCACTCAATTTTAAGCCTTTTCTTAACCTCCAAAGTGAAGTCATAGACTTTATATGGGTCAGGAAGTGTCATGGAAACACTCTCCCTCTGATTACACCTTTTGGCCCAAGCCATGAACCTTGGGCACTCTTTCTCCACACTAAATTTGCAAAATGTCTCGTATGTATAAAACCTGCATGTAATTGGTAGCAAGGCTATATCCAAAAGGCCAAAATAATCACCAGCAAAATAAGGCTTTTCTCCAAGTTCATTTTCCAAGAGTTTCAAGCACTCCACAAACTCTTTCTTTGCAGCATCTTGATCTGCCCCTTTGCTAGCCCACATTCTCCTGCCACAATCACTTACCTGCATAAATCAAGTTTAGGGACACACACACACACAACCATTAAATTATTTAAATTAAAATCATTTTATTATATTTTTCAATGATATAATAATATATACAATTATAGCAATAGGATTTGTAAGAACTTAAAATGAAATATAAATTTTATTTTAATATAAAAATAATAACATATTCTTAATATATAATTTAATTTTAATTTAAAATAATAATAATTGTTATCATTTGAAATAAAATATAAGAGTTTGAATTTGAAGATAATTAATAACATAATCAAATTTGAAAAAAAAGTGTAAAATCTTTAAAATTCAATCTCATTCTCATGAAAACTATTATGTAATGAGGAAAGATAGAGAATATGAAAAATGATTTACTCAAGAGAGTAAAGAGAGTAAGAATCTAAATCATCAAAGTAAGTTCACTCAAATTCCTAATATAAAATTAGACTTGCAAAAATTCTCCATAAAGGTAAAAAGACTTGCCCGTTAAAATCTTGTGCAAATGAAAGGAAAAAAACAAAATAAAACAAATTACAAAGTGAACATAAGACAATCGCCGATTAATAATCAAATAATATGATATTTTGTGAGATTTCGGAATTAATTTGCCTAATTCATAGATAAACCTATCTAAAATGCATCTAAGAGAGAGATATATGTGACCTTCTTGTCAAATAAATCAATCCAAAACCTGGCTCTGGCTCGGTCGTAAGGATCATTAGAGAAAAGCTGTTTTTCTTGCTTCCAAACCTCATCAATGTATTGAAGAATGATGAGGGACTCACAAATGGGTCTACCATGGTGGATGAGAATTGGAACCTTCTTGTGAATGGGATTGGATTTCAGGAGTAACTCACTCTTCTTCTCAAATATATCTTTTTCTTCCTTGTACACAAACTCAACACCCTTCTCTATCAGTGCAATCTTCACTCTCATCACATAAGGGCTGCTCCAAAACCCCACAAGAACTACTTCATCCATCTTTTGGAGCAAATTATGACTAACTGGCGTTTGATGATCTTGTTGATATTCATTCACATATGATTTTGTCTAGGTTCTTTTTAATATGTACAGCACTATAATAATAATAATAATAAAGTAATGAGTCTGCATTCGTTGCATGCTTCCTTGCAATTTAAAAACATTATCTCAGAAGCAATTTTAAATTTCTAGTCAAAGAGTAATATTATACTACAAATATTATATTGAATACAATCTTTGCCTTGAGAAAAAAGAAATAGCTAGCTATAATAAGTGTTGAACGTAGAATATTCATGACTGGAATTTTTAAGAGACGATAATGTCTTGCAATTTAAAAAACATTATATCAAGAGCAATTTTAAATTTCTAGTCAAAGAGTAATATTATACTATAATTATTATGTTAAATACCATTTTTTCCTTGAGAAAAATAATAGATATAATAAGTTTTGAATGTAAAATATTCATGACTGGAATTTTTAAGAGATGATAATGTCATGCACGTAAGTGTTTTTTTAACATTCATTATGTGGAATAAAAGTTTGAATCAGCTTTTTAAAAGGATTTATATTATATTAGAGAGAAAAGAAGGATATTTACTTACTTTAAGAGAATGTCTATTTAAACTTATTATACTTAATAATACATATTTTAAATTAAATTTTAACAATTTAATCATTGAATTAAAAATTATTAATGTATAGATTAATTTTGTAAAGTTTTAATAAATTTGAAAATAATATAATACTTCGTTTCATTAATTTAAATCAATATAAAAAATATTTTTATGATTATCCGTCAATTTGAATTGATCAAATAGAGTATCAAATCATTTTCAAATCTCTTAAAATTTTGCATAATTAATCTATGCATTAATAATTTTTAATTCAACGGCTAGATCATTAAAATTTGATTTAGAGTATGAGTTATTGAGTGGAGTAAGTCTAAATAGACTTACTCTTAGTAAGTGAATCCCTCTTTTCATATATGTGTATGTGGCACAAAATCAACACATTGAATAATTTTTAGACATCATTTACTCAAGAGAGTTGGTGAGCCCTTATTGTATCTCAATGTTAGAAAATAAAAGCTTAATCTATAACAACCTAATTAGTCTACCTTTTAATAGCAAAAATGTATTTCTTATAGTCATTGTCATCAAACTACTAAATATATAACAATTGTTTTAGATACTTAGAGAAATAGAGAAAACTCTTTTAGTTTTTATATCATTCCTTTAAGTCTATTAGACAATGAAACACCACAGACCTTTTTATAGGCAAGACCACAAATCCTTTACTTTATAATCATAATAATCTTCCATTAGTATAACCATTAAGAACTAATAAAATATGTTTCTTATGACTCATAATAGCTAATTATTATTCTATAACAATTTTTTATTATCAAGCAATTAATTATATTAATAGGGTAATTAAATCAAACATAAATTTTAATATGAGCCACATAATATTTTTTCAACATTCTCCCACTTGACTCATTTACTCTTTAAAGATTACTCCTATCACCAACAACTAAACATGATCATTTAACTTAAAACATGAAATTTCTAAAAACTATATAGAAATTATATCATATATGAATTATGATAGTTATGTTTGGATGACTTGATTTGTGCAGGTTTGATGAAATTTTCGAAGTAGGTAAGGGTTCCTGTTTGAATTTGCGCCGGGCGTGATTTGAAATGGGAAATCCCTGGGTGAATAGCGCCGGGCGTTGGGAGAACCACACCGGGCGCAATAGACCTCTGTAGTCTCTGGTTGAGAAATGCGCCGGGCGAGACTTTAATGCGCCGGGCGAGAATTTGATTTTCAGAATTTGACTTTATAGTCTTCATGAAAGTTGTATCCTTGGATGTTAGTTTTTCAATGGCGCTGGAATCACCCAAAAAGGAGTTTTAGAACTCTAGATATGACTGTTTTAGTGAAGAGGGGTCGAGCTGCTAGCTTTGTTTATAGTTGTTGCGGCTTTTATCATTTTTAACAAGGTAGATGAAAGAACTTGGACTTGGTGTCTTCATGAGAGTTGTATGAAATCTTCTTATCTTTCTTATGAGATAAGGATGAGCATGGTAGGAGTAGTATAACTCCTGATGCGCTATTTTCTGTGAAGGTTGCCATTTCGCATTTAGTGATTTGGTTAAGTTGAAAGTTGTTATAGGTGCTTAGGCTGATTAGTGTTGTGTGGGTGGGTAAATTGACAAGATAGATGAGTTGTAAACAAGATGGTTGGGTCGTATTATGTGTTGATCATGCTGTTTTAAGCTGTTAATGATGAATGTTGTTGAGCTGAGCGATGATATTGATGTGCTGCGCTGAGCGCGGCCCTTGTCGCGCTGGGCGTGAGACTCCTTGGGAGTCTCTGCCTCGAGGGCGCTGGGCGCAATTTGGTTTGCGCTGGGTGCGAGACCAAGGGAGGTCTCTGCCTTACCTGCGCTGGGCGCGGGTTGGGGTACGCCGGGCGTGTGAGACTCCTTGGAGTCTCTGCCTGGCCTGCGCTGGGCGCAATTGGGTATTGCGC